CTGCCTACTAACCTCATCCCGCCCCCTTGACCTGTCCGTCCTCCCTGGACTGACCTATCTCGTCCCTACCTCCCCACCTACACTCACCTTTACTGGCTCCGTCCCCGCCTCTTTGACCTGTCTGTCTCCTCTCCACCTATCTTCTCCTTTATCCATCTTCTATCCGCCTCCCCCTCTCTCCCTATTTATTTCAGAACTCCCTTCCCCTCCCCCATTTCTGAAGAAGGGTCTAGGCCCGAAACATCAGCCTTCCTGCTCCTCTGATGCTGCTTGGCCTGCTGTGTTCATCCAGCTTTACACCTTGTTATCTCAGATTCTCCAGCATCTGCAGTTCCCACTATCCCTTTGTGTCCATTGTCTCTTAGCTTTTCCAGTAAACTTTGATAATACCAAATGTGAAATTTGACAAAGGACTGTTGTTTAGACATGTTCATTTAAAGGGAGAGACTGCCACTCTATTATTATCCAATTCATGACTTTCCAATTGCTGTGTTAAAACTGCAAAGGTCACCTGACTCCCTTAGTAGCCCCTCAGTGAGGTTCACCAATGCCCATTTTTAAGTAGAGGCAGCTCCAGAAGTTCTATAGGGTGCAATCCTCTTTAAGATTCTGAATATGACAAAGACTTAATGACATGGCATAAAAAGGACGGTAACTCCAAACTGGTCAACGGTGGGTTTTTTTCCGATGAAATAAATCTCTTGTTTCATCTAGAAATCTAAAAATGTTTTTCGATGATCTATTAAGCAATTTTCTTGTAAATAGTAGCCAGGTGGAGGAACCTGTTGTTTTGCCATACACATTCAAGCACACATTTGCCAACTTGGCTGAGCCCTGAACTTGGATTGACAGTTGAAGGTCAAACAATTTTAAATTAAGGATGAAGAAAAGTTTATGTGGAGGCGCACTCTACGATGTAATTCATCCATGAAAATATTTTCACAGGATTACACTTAACAGAGAATGAAATCTATTATTTCCTTTCCAACCTACCTTCTCTTCCTGCTTATTAACTATTGTCCTTGTTAAATGCCCTGATTTGTATGATGGCAGAGGAAGGATATGCCAAAACAGCTGTTAATGTCCCAGGATCGAACCATCTGTCTGGTCCATTGACCAGGGAATGTTGTGCAGTGAAAAGATGTGAGGGTCATTTGGCTTAGTGAAGAAGGGGAAGGATTTGAAATGTATAAGACAATGATATTTTGGAAAACCAGCAGAGATTCAATTTCATTTTTGTTTTACTTGAATTTTCAAAATGCATCAGTATTAAACTTCAGTATGATGTAGAGTCATAGAGTCATACAGCACGGAAACAGACCCTTCAGTCCAACTTGTCCATCCCGACCAGGTATTCTAAACTTAACTAGTCCAATTTGCCTGCATTTGGCCCAAATCCCTCTAAACCCTTCCATTTCATTTGCCCGTCCAAATGTCTATTAAATGCTATAATTGTACCAGCTTGGACCACTTCCTGTGACAGCTCTTTCCATACACACACAATCCTCTGCGTGACAAAGTTGCCCCTTAGGTTCCTTTTAGATCTTTCCCCTCTCACCTTAAACCTGTGCCCTCTAGTTTTGGACTCCACTACCGTCGGAAAAAAGACCTTGGCTATTCACCTTATAGAGGGCAGAATTGGGTGTTTGGAGTTGCGGATGATTTAAGTTTTAAAGCAATTGTGCAACACTGATATTAGCATAAAATATTCCCTTTATTAGGAGCACGTAGGTTCACTGTGTAAATGTGAAATAAGAATGGATTTACTAGTAGGTACATCTCTGTGCACTAATTGCTATCTACATTCATGAAAGCTGGGTGATTCATATATTGACTGGTAGAATATTGCGCTGGGGCACCTTGCTGAGCCATTAATATAAATGGACATGGAGCATGTCCTTGCCCATGTTATTTGGTTTGGAGGCTGCTGACCTCTGTGGACCTGTTGGAAATAATATATGAAAGAAAGTGATTCTTGGGGATGTCTCTATCTACCGTAAATACAGTGTGGAAATTTGGATTATGTGAAAGCTGCAATAGTTGGTGTGGAAAGTAAATCTATATTTTTTTTTATAAAACAGCTTGTGGTTTTGCAGTTTCCCCTCCTGTGGTTTGAGTCTTTCATTTTCTCATCAGTTCGACATTTTCTCTCTCCCCTGTCCTTGCAGATAAAGTAGAGCTGCCAAATACAGCCAATGTGGAGGTTGAAGTGACACCTCCAAAGGATTCTCCCCCAGCAGTGCAGAATGGAAGCCTACCCAGTGGAGCAGAAGTTACAGCAGGACAGGTATGTGTCATATCAAGAAGCATTTTGGGATCTTCTGGATGAGCAGAAGTTGAGTATCTATCGTTCAGCACAAGGCAAGATTCAGCTTTATTCTCGATTTACTTTTGAATTGACGCATTTGCTAAAGGCTGGGCATTGGTGGGGTAATGGGTTCCTGTGAGAGGTGGAAGGTGGTTACCAACATTTTCAGTGATAATTTAAACAATTGGAAGAATAAATTGCTGGCATTATCCAACTAAAGCTCTCCTTGAGAATAACATCGCTGAGACACCGTGGCCTGAATTTTAGCTCCTGAGTTGGAAGTGCAGAGTCAGGACAATTCCGAGCTCCACAAGCGTAATTCAGATGCCTGGAAGAAAGGATTGTTGTTCTGGAGGACAGCAGGTTTTATGTGAGTCATGTGGGGTGACCCCAGAGAGCGAACAGGGGCTGCAGTGGCCTTTGATGCACTGATACTTTGTAAAAGCCATGAAAAAATGCAATAAAACAAAAGCAAGCCCTCAATCCTCATCTATCTTCCAATAAGTTCCCCATGTGCTAATCATGCCAATCCATGCTGTATGTTGTCCTCCATCTGCCCCTATGGCTCTTAATGCCATCCATGCCAAAAAATGCCATCTACCCGCCCTGCGTCAACAGATGTCAGCCCATGTTCCCACACTAATAACCCTTTGCTACACACCTGCTATGACAATTCACCCAAGATGTGTGCTGAAATAAGATGGGATCACCTCGTGTATATTGAAGAATTCACCATATTTTATAAAAATGGTCATTTATTTAGAAAATCCACTCATTCTGTTCAACATCCTTTAAACCCAAGTTAAAAATAAGCATTGCAATTCATAGTCCCATTTCAAAACTTTTACAAAAACTGCTTGGAGCTGTCAAATTATGAAATGACGTGCACCCCACTGTTAAAATGAAAGATTGTGAAATCAGTCATTTGGCAATAAACCTGTAATGATAGCCCTCAAACCATGTCAATAGACATTAAATAGCAAGCACTGATCTTCTTTTAACACTACAGCCTTTTTTTCCAAATGTTTAAATGGCAGACAGTTTAAATGTATTGACAGCTGCAGTGGCTTCATGCACATTTTATGCACGTCTTTAACAATTAACAATCTTGAAGGTGTCCCAGAACAATATCCAAAAGTGACATTTTCCAAGTTCTGCAGAAACTGTATATCTTCTCTTACCGGGTCTGACATGCACAAAGCAGGAAGAAACTACATAGTTACTTTCATAAACTATTTATAATATACCTCCATTGCTACCCTTCCCTATCACATCGCTTCACTCTGGACTATTTTTATAATAACAAAGTTGCTCTCCATCTTGATGAAAGCTCATGCCAATATGTAAATAGAACTGACAAGTGAAAGAGCTAATGGATCTACCGTAAATGCAATGCACTGATATGATTGGATTTTGTATGTCTGTTTGTTTTTTAATATGAATATGCTGCAGTTGTTTTTATTAAAACACGTTTCCCTGAATGATGTTCCTTGGTGATGCTCAATAGAATACTCTTCATAATTTAAAATAGCCAACTATTGATACCCCCGATCTATTTTCCTGGTAGAAATAGCAATCACTTTGGACAGAATGCATTTTAGGTTTCCCAGTATCTGGATAAAAATCCTTGGGAAAAAGAAAAACGCCCATTTACTCCATGCTTTGCAGATGTGTCAATGTCTATATTGGTGGAACTCCTAATTTGACCCCATGGATGAACTTCCTGAAAATAGAGGTGATTTGTTAAAGATCAATTAAGTTCTTACAATTTACCTATTGAAGATCGTCAAGAAACACACATTGTCACAACGGATTGAATTCTACCAGAATCTGGTCAATCATGGTACAGAAACAAATTGATTGTTAATGCCAAAAACAGCCTCATTACTTATGACATCTTGTTGCTTGTCAATTAGGTTACCCAGGCAACTGAATGAGTTTTGTTGAATTGCAAACTGTTACAGCCTTAATGAGAGACAACAAGGTGCAGAGCTGGATGTACACAGCAGGCCAAGCAGCATCATAGGAGCAGAGAGGCTGACGTTTCGGGCCTAGACCCTTCATCAGAAAAGGGGGAGGGGAAGGGGGTTTTGAAATAAATAGGGAGAGAGTGGGAGGCGGATAGAAGAGGGATAGAGGAGAGGATAGGTGGAGAGTATCGGCGCCGCCTCGTGCTCCCACGAGGAGCTCGAACAGTTCATACACTTCACTAACACCTTCCACCCCAACCTTAAGTCTCGGATTCTCCAGCATCTGCGGTTCCTACTATCTCTGATTCAATTTTAACAGCCTTAATGATACAGATATGTATTTAGACTACCTTCATTACTATCTCTTCAGGAAAGGCCATTTGAAAAAACAATGAAGTATTAAAATAATTCCAATGCTGCAGGTATTGGAGATCTGAGAACAAAAACTAAATGCTGTAAAGTCTCAGGTTTGGTGGCAATTGTGGAGAGCAAAAGTGTTTCAAATCCACTGTGACTGTTCTTCAGAACTTAAGCATTAAATTTTGCCATTTTAAACATTTTCCATATTTCCCTCTCTCAATGATTCAATCTCTAGCAACTATTTTGACTTCCATTGTAGGGTAAACCACTTAAAGTACTGTTACTTTGATGTTCAAGCAGATGTTAGGCAATTTTTACACAGCAAATTCTCAAGGACAGAAGGTTAAATGATTGACCATTTAATCTGTTTTTAATCATTGTGTTTGAGGGAGAAACATTGCCAGGCCATGGGGAGAATTCACTTCATTAAATATAATTGTGAATGTTTCAAATTCAGCAAACAGGTAAGTGAACATAAGAACATAACAAGAAACAGTGGACCATTCAGCCCATTGTTCTACTACTTTATGGCTGCTCTGCCCATGTCTCAGCTCCTCATTGCCCTCAAAAATCTATCTACCTTTGTTTTTAATATTTTCAGTGATCTCACCTCCACAACTCTCTGGGATAGAGAATTCAAAACATTCATGACTGTCTGGGAGAAGAAATTCTTTCACATCTCAGTTTTAAATGAGTGCCTCCTTATTATGAAACTATTTCCGCTATAGTTCGACATTCTCCAACTAGTGGAAATGTTTTCTCAAGCCCCCTTAGTATCTTTAATGTTTCATTGAAATCATTCCTTACCCTTCTAAACTCGAATTCATAAAAGCCTAACCTGTCTACCTCTATGATACATCAAACCCTTCATCTCAGGTATCGGCCGAGTGAATTTCCTTTGTATTGACATTGGTGTAGTTTAACTTTCTTGCATATTGACACCAAAACTATACACAGTACTGCAGGTGCCGCCTCAATAATGCCCTCTAAAGTTGTAACAAAACTGCCCTGTGTTTAAATTCCACGTGTTAATAATAAAGCAATGAATAAAAATTCCATTTGTCTTCTTAATTACTTGCTGCGCCTGCATAGCTTATGTTTTGTGTTTCATACATAAGAACACCCAGACCCCTCTGCATTGCATGTTTTGGAGTCTTTCTATATTTAAGTAATTGTCTAATCTTTGATTCTTCCTGCTAAAGTGCACGAACTGTCATTTTCCTACATTAAACTCCACCTGCCAAGTTTTTGTCCACTCACTAAACCTATCTATATCCTGTAGATTTCTTATGTCCTTGTCACAATATGTCCTCCTACCTTTTTATTACATCATTAACAAATTTGGATACATTCCTCTCTGCCCTCTCCTCCAAGTCATTAGTAAGGACAGTAGTAATTGAGGCCCTAGAACTGATTCTTTTGACACTCCATTAGTTACATCTTTCAAGACCCATTAATCCCAACTCTGTTTTCTGTGTGGTAATCAATCCTCAATCCATGCTGATACATTAGCCCTAATATCATGAACTCCTGTGTTGCACAATAACCTTCCACGTGGCACTTTATTGAATGGCCTTCTGGAAATCTAAGTACGGTAAATTTACTGGTTCATCTTTATTAACTCTGCGTGTTGTATACTCAAAGAACTCTCGTTAATTTGTCAGTCATGACTTTTCTTTCACAAAATGATGCTGACTGATTTTGTTAAGTTTTGTTTTCCGAATGTCCTGCTATTTCTACTTTAATAATGGACTCCAGTATTCTCCCGGTGATAGATGATAGGCTGGTGCCTATAGTTTCCTGCTTTTTGTCTCTGTTTTCATTGAACGGGGCATCATATTGGCACTTTTCCAATCTGCTGGTTCTCTCCCAAAATCCAGTGAACTCTGGAATAAATAGACCACTGTTTCTGCAGCCACTTCCTTTAAAGCCATTGGAGACAGGCCATCTGGGTCTGTGATATGCCTGCATTTAGTCCCATTAGTTTGTCAAGTACTTTGTCCAATGGAGTCTCACTTTCATACCTCATTTGATAGGACTGCACTGAAGAGGCAGCCTAGATGCAAGTTGACACCATTGTATTTGTACATGCTTTACAAAGTTGGATGTTGCATATACTAAAATAGTGCCAAATTGGCCAGAGTTTGTTATTTTGTTACAATCTTCTTTATAGAAGGGAATATAATTCAGGAGTCTTTAAAATTTGTTTTATTCATTCTTGGCACATGAACAAATTCAGCACTTATCACTGCTGGTAATGGGCTGCTATCTTGTTGTAGCAATCCAGGAATAAGGAATTCCAGGATTTTCATCCAAAGACAGCGGCTGTTGCTAAGCTGTTTCAGAGATAGTAGGAACTGCAGATGCTGGAGAATCCTTGATAACAAGGTGTAGAGCTGGATGAACACAGCAGGCCAAGCAGCATCAGAGGAGCAGGAAGGCTGACGTTTCGGGCCTAGACCCTTCTTCAGAAATGGGGGAGGGGAAGGGGGTCCTGAAATAAATAGGGAGAGAGGGGGAGGCGGATGGATAGAGGAGAAGATAGGTGGAGAGGAGACAGACAGGTCAAAGAGGCGGGGTTGGTTACAGCACAACAACAACAGCATCCCTGAAGAGTTCCAATAGACCTGTTGACTCATAGGGCAACCT